ATGCTAATTTGGTTAAAATATGGCTAAAATTCACTCATGTGGAAAATCTAGGTCAGATCCAGCATTCGAAGCAGGTTGGTTAGTGTACATCCCTAGATGCATCATCCATGAAAGTTTGGTCCAGGTAGGGCTTATAGTTACTTGGGAATGAGACTACTCCTAAATCTAAACCTGGTCTCACATGTGGAAAATCTAGGTCAGTTCCAGCATCTGAAGCAAGTGTGGTAGTGTCTATCCCTGGATGCATCATCCATGCAAGTTTGGTCCGGGTAGGGTTTATAGTAACTTGGGAATGGACCTGCTCCTAAAACTTTAACCTGGTCACTCATCTGGAAAATCTAGGTCAGATCCAGCATCCGAAGCAAGTTTGGTAGTGTCCATCCCTAGATGCATCATCCATGCAAGTTTGGTCCAGGTAGGGCTTATAGTTACTTGGGAATGGACCTGCTCCTAAAACTTTAACCTGGTCACTCATCTGGAAAATCTAGGTCAGATCCAGCATCCGAAGTAAGTGTGGCCATGTCCATCCCTAGATGCATCATCCATGCAAGTTTGGTCCAGGTAGGGCTTATAGTTACTTGGGAATGGGACTTGCTCCTAAAACTTTAACCTGGGACGCCGACGCTAACGCCGACGCCGGGGGTATAGCATAAGCTCATCTCGACTTCGTCGAGGTGAGCTAAAAATAAATTACCCATCACATACTGATAATCTCTTCTACTAGCTGTGTCTGTATACTTACATAAATAAATTATCCATCACATACTGATAATCTCTTCTACTATGGTCCGGTAAGTAACATCCCGAGAAAATAATAATGGCATTCAGCCCCTCTCCATAGTAACCTGTAAATTTACAACAACAAGCATATGGAGAAGCATTTAAAATATAAATATTTACATGTAGCAATACTCATATTGTTATTAAAATGGTGATAAATTTAGGGCTGGGGCAATATATTGAAATATTAATAATATCTATTCTGTGTGATGATGATACATGTATCAATAGATGTTTAGATATCCAAATACAGTCAAACCTCATTATCTCGAACTTGATGGGACCAAGAAAAAACTTCCAGATATCCAAGTATTCAAGATATCGAGTGTAAAATACTTAAAGAAAGAGGGGTTGGGACTTTCAAAGCACTTCGAGATATCCATGGTATTCAAGATATCAGTGTTCAAGATACCGAAGTTCAGACTTATTTTTTCTTTGTTTACTAAACATTTTGAGTTTAATATATAAAATATGTTAAATATACATACATACAAATATGATACATAATACTAACACAATTTTTGTTAATTAATTTTGTTTCATAATAGGTATACAGATTCTATGAATAAATTATTTTTATTTGTGAAGAAATATATTGTTCATTTTAATACAAAATGAAAATTTCATTTGACATGTATCATATCGTGGTACAAACATTGGGTTACATATCCATTTAGAAGGAAGTGTGTCATTCCAGCCCTATATTAATTATATATGCATTCTACACGTTTTGTTACTAAATATGTTACACTTTAAAAATGTAAGACTGATATATCATTTTATGACAACTGCCACTTCAGTCCTATGCATGAAGTCTAAATATGAATTAATTATGAATACCTTGTACAATGGCCTGATTTTTTAACACTATACTTAATACAACATTTTTAAAAATACAAGAGAAGACAGAAGTACCTTTCAAAATGACTTATTCTAAAACTTTAAAATATAAATATCATAAAATGTAACATTAATTAATAGATTTCTTCTTCTGGCCACCAAGCATGTATATGCAAGTAAAATTTTAATAAATTATCACTGTCCTTGACCTTTCACCCCTTGACCTTTTACCCTGATGCCTATAATAGCTTCAAGCATCTCCAATGCAATTATGACACTAAAAGGTCAAATGCTACATAATGTATAACTCTTTATATCGAGATCAAAACATTGGTTTGGATCCAGGAAAACATGGACATATACATTCAAAGGACAAAAATATGAGCCATTTAGGGTACCAACGAGACAAAGCCTGATGGAGAACAGATCCACAACAGTCCCTGGAAACCAGTTACTATTGCTTTGTCACAAAAGGAGAATGGTGCAGTCAACTTTAAATTTATAAAAGTTATTTCCCTTTGTAGAGATAATCAGAGGTCACCTGACACTAGCTACTCCCTCAATTACATTACCAACTTTATAGGACAATTAACATACACATATGACAAATGAAATATAAATGTATATGTTCATTATGTTTCCCATGTTTCCCCATACTATGCCAATAAAGGAATGGTACAAAATTGTGAAAGTGTTTGAAGGTTTCAAGTTTATACAGGTAAATTACAAAGGATGCAAGACATGCTGGCAAAGGGAGATAACTTTGACATTAATGTGAAAGACATCTATTAATGTCCTTGTAAATACAAAGCTAAAAGGCCTTGGCCTTTATACAAGTCATTACAGTTACTTTGACCTTACCTCCATGAGAAAGGACCCTTTTATATGGCTCAATGACCTTGAGGTCAATCTTCATCTGTTTTCCTCCAATCTCCACCCCCTTCCAGAGTTTAGACTCACGGTACTCATCCCGAGCGGAGAATTCGGGGAGTGGATCCGTCCGTTTTATAGGTGTGTCATCTGAAAATAAAAACAAAGAACTGAAACTAACTGCAAATCTGTGTTATCTTTTCCATAAAAATAATTCACATGACTCATTAAAATTGTAATTTTTCAAATTTCTAAATTTCAATTTTTAAACCACCAGAATTTAAAAACCTTACCGGCCATGTTACATTTAAACTACTCATTAATGGTGAACAAGGAAGCTAAATAATGTTATTTATTTCCTCGTTTTAAAGTTGATAATACTTCTTGTGTTTACCTTTTAAGAATATACAGGGAGCAGTAGCTGTCATCTAATGATAAGCTTTATATAAGAATAAAAGATGTGGGCAAATCATAATGCATGTTAAATGTCCCGTCAAGCTCAGACAACACACTTAAATGAAGGGCAAAGGTTGAAGTTCAAACAGCTGAATGGAGGACAAAATTTGTACAGAAATTTGAACAACATATCAAATAATTGATGGTTAGAAGAGTGAAAAAGAAAAGAAAGGAAATGTAGATATATGAATGGATAGAACTGTAATGGTATATATGTATAGACAAAAGAAAAGACTGATAAGGACACTGATAAATTGAATGATGAAAAAAATTGAAGGATTTATCATGTTTATACTGCAAATCAAAAATTGTTGAATTATTTTTTTGTACTTGATGCAGAATCATTGCCTTTTTTCATAAGATACATAAAATTTACACATCCTCTTTACAGCAGAACAGATGAATACAAAATGACTTCAGAAAATAATTCCTCTCTGAGCCACAGGGCTCATAAGACTGGCACTTTAATATACTGTGGTGCTATGCAGATGAGAGTCACTGACCCCCCCCCCCCCCCAAACTGGGTCACCAGTCCACTGCAGGTTAACCTCCCCAGCATAAGCTGATACTCATTGCAGCTGCATGGCTGGACTGACACATATATGTAGATATAATGCCTTTGTCTTTGGTCAACTTGAAGTGTCCACAGTAGCTAAACACCTATGACCACAGCGTACCACAACTTAGGGTTCATGGATAGAGTTCAGATCTGCTGATGTACATAAGCAAGCTTACTTTCCCACTCCAGACCATCTGCTGGATCCATCCCATCATCGTCTAGATCATCACTCAGGATGTTAAAGTTGGCCGTGATCTTTTTCTTTGGATGAGCACTGAGTAAGGAGGGACGCACTGAAGATAAAATAAAGTTATGTTAGTCAAGTAATAATGAAGTAAAGTTTATTTCATTTATCTTTCAGATAACAAGGGCTGCACTGCATATAAAATATTGTAACATCAGACAGGAAATTAAGAAATATGGCATTCACAAAACATTAGGAAGTAGCTTCAGATAACTTGGAAATTAGATACGGAGAAATTAAATTTGTTATCTACACATAAAAGAATACCACTGCTCTTGCTGAGCTCAAGTGTAGCAATGACAAAAAAAATCAGAAGCAATTAAAATGCTAATTGTTTCTCTTGACAGAAAGTGTTTACTAGATATTAATTTTACTGCCCTGAACATTCTGTTTGAGATTATCAAACCAAGATTATGAATAGGGGTGTAAAGGAATCTTGTGATGGTACAGAAAAACAGAATACATTTAACTATATTCTAAATTAAATCCATTAATTTATAACTTAATTGATCAATTAAGTTATAAATTAATGGATTTAATTTAATATGATATGCACGAATAAACATCTCTTTATTAGACTCAAACACTGCATCTGAAAGTTTTAATTATTTCAGATAAAATTACTAGCAGTCTGCTAGACTTCATCATTAATTGAAGAAAAAAACTTTTTTTTTTTACTCTTGCAGGAAATTGACTAAAACATCTTCCCCTCTTGAAAAATGAAAAGACACCCCATCCCCCTTTTTAATGAACAGAAACTAATATTAATTTGAGAAACTGTAGTTCTGGCTTAAGATCATGAATTCTACATGGGGAGTGTTCAGTACTGTAGACTTAGGAACATGAATTCTACCTGGGGAGTGTTCAGTACTGTAGACTTAAGAACAAGAATTCTACCTGGGGAGTGTTCAGTACTGTAGACTTAGGAACATGAATTCTACCTGGGGAGTGTTCAGTACTGTAGACTTAAGAACATGAATTCTACCTGGGAAGTGTTCAGTACTGTAGACTTAAGAACATGAACTCTTCCTGGGGAGTGTTCAGTACTGTAGACTTAAAAACAAGAATTCTACCTGGAGAGTGTTCATTACTGGAGTTGCTGGAGTTACTGGAATGTCTTGATCGCGAGCCTTCAGAGTCGCTGGAATCTGATACTTTTTCTGCGGGGGGCATTCCTGGGATGTCATCTTCCTGCCATTCATCAGCCAGGTCCAGACCCCCAAGTCTGTCCTGTCAATAGATAGTTCAAAATGGTAACATATCCTGCATACTTGGAATTTCTTATCCCTGTTTTATTTTTGCCATTATTGCCAATGGGCAAATTCAAAGAAACGAGAGTTATCTTTCTTTCAACACTACTGTTGTCTGGGCGAATTAAAAATGTGGTGAAATTGCTTGCAAGTAAGATAGCAATGGGGCAAAGAAACCTGTATACTGTCAACTCAGGAACTGTCTCTTAGTCCTATATCTCTTTGAGAATTGTAGGATGACATTGGATATCAAATTAAATTGAAGAAGTAAACATATAAGAGTTATTTCAATCATTTTCTTTGAAATATCATGTCATTTCGTGAAATATTGTTCAATTATAATGTATTTAAAAAAAATTATGTATTTTTTAAATCTTACAAAAATAAATGACACATGATGCGCCAAACCAGTTACATGTACAAATTGAATTATGAGTCCGTGCTTTTTTTCACTTCCAAGTTATGGCAACTGGACTTATAATTTAAAAACATTTTAGAATAACTTAATTAAAGATACAATAAAAATGCTCTTCTGAAACAAAAGTTGATTTGTTTTACAGACCTTGATTTTGTTGTCCTGGTCCGTCATGTCATCACTTGAGTTTTTGTTGTTTTCATCCAAAGCCTGAAAAGAATTGAAAGAAAATCATAGACCATCTTTGTTTCCTGATTTTGAAAGGATATCTGTGGTACTGTTAAGGCTATTTGCTCACTCCTGTGCCTTTTGGGGAAAAAGAATGGAATTGACTATGCAAACATGTGGGGGGTGGGGGGGGGACTCCTGAGGGAGAGGGGGAACAATTCAAGGGAAGCTACAGGAAGGAATGAGAGAGTGCCAGGAAGCAAGAAAGACAGACAAGGCAAGGGCGAGGGAGCAAAATCAGCATCCCCCTCCATTGTCATCTTTGCTGACTTACCATATTTGCCTGTGCATTCTCCCTCCCTCCCTCAAGATATACATAATGCAAATGGACAGCAGTATACCAGGATAGAGAATGGCCACCTAGACAAGCAGTGAGTGGGAAGCAAACAAAGCAAAATGCTTCATTTGCCCCTCCCCCCCCCACCCCAAAGAAAAAGATACAAAGACATACAACTTGCCATGGACTGATGTCTCTTGTTAGAATGAGATAAGCAGAAACAAACAAACCCAATGCTGGATTTTAAACCCCCCCCCCCCCCAACAGATATTTACAATTTTTCTCATTGATTAATAGAGTAAAATCCATTTGCTCAAGTAAGAATCATTCAGTGGATTATTATGATTTTAAAATCCTGTTTTGAGATTGCCTGGTAGAATTTGATTAACTCACTTTGTCTGCAAAAGCAGCATATATCCATGAATAATCTCATACATGTAAACAAACACAAGCAACTGAATACCACTATATGACTAATGCTCACTGCAGGTTGAACACATCACTGCTTAAAATCAGAGGTCATTTAACATGTCTAAGAGATATGTACTTAGTCTAATATATATATGTTAAAATTGTACATTCTTTCAAGTCATTACTCCCCCAAGGCAATACATAAACATTTTTTAAGTGATCACATCCATTTAGATTGGCTAATTCAATGTTGAAATGTATGCATTATAATAAAAAATACATGACAAATTTTAAATGCATCTATTATAACTAGGCAGTTTTCCAATTGTAAACATGTTCAGAATTTAAACACAGAAATTGATTTTAAAACACAAACTAATATGAAAATTAAGCTTGCCTTGTATTAGCTTGTATATGTCATTTCTTAACTTTTCATGCCTTTTTTCACATTCCTTCAAAGAAGAACTTGGCATGTTGCTAAATACTACTGACTCTGCATGAGAACCTCTTGGGTTTTACCACTCGAAAGTTAGGAAGTCTACCGAGAGTCATGAAACACTTAACTTATACATAGAACAAGTTAATATCCTCCTTGCATGTTCAACACACCCTCCTTAATTGATGAGAATTATTGATCATATGAAAATATACCTCATGATTCTGTCAACAAGTTCAAGAATTACAAGAATTTGTTTAGAATCCTCTCCAAAAATAACACTCACATCTGAATTAGCACCTCCACTAGCATCAGTTGTTTTTCCAGACCAAGAAATAAAAATTTTAGGATGCTAAGATGTAGGTGTAGCCATCAATAAAGTTTGTCAGTTTGTCAGGGGTGAACCTTCCCCTTGTATCATACACAGGAAGCTGACGATGTACAACTAATCAGGTCATTACATCCACATGTTACAGGGTGAGTCAAAGTACAACATCACTACAGGGTGTCTCAAAAATCTGCACCTTCCTGGGTGAGTCAAAACATCATAGCTCTAAAGGGTGTCTAAAAAATTTGCACTTTCATAGATGCACTCAAAACATTGCACGTCTACAGAGAATAATGCTCTTTGCAGGGTGTTACCAAACTCTGCTGTCAGAAATGTTTTAGTCAAATACTACACTTTTACAGAATGTTTGAAAAATTTTACTTTGTCGATCATTAATACTGGCATACAATGCAGTAGTATATTATATGCCAGAAAATCTTATCTGTATATAGACAATATATACAATAAGTACAGTACAGCCTAAAATTTACTCACACTTCTCTATGGCACATGATGTACCTTGTGAGTAGCATTTACTGTGTAACAAACCATGTACTTGTCAAAAGTACATGTATACAGTTTCACCAAGAGAAGAACCTTTTATAATCTATGAAGCATAATACGTTATTTAATAAAACAATAAAATTCTTCCTTTGCTTGTTAGTATGGGAGTTAACATTGCAGCTGTTGCAGAAAAAATATATATCCCACATCAGCAGTTTATTATATGTAATTTTTTTCTGCAAAAGCTGCAACCATTAATTTCAGTACTAACAAAGAAAGACATTTTATTGTTTATATTTACATCTGTATAAATAATCATATACTAAAAAACAAAAAAACAACAACAGAAATCCCTGTGCGCAAAATTGCAGTAAAATGACTTAACTAGGGCTGTCACGGTTCCAAAATTTTTCGGGTCGGGTCGGTTCTGTAAATTTTCGGTTTGGTTTCGGGTTTTTCGGGTCGGGTATTTACATCTATTTTAAACCTTAATTTCATAAATTTAACTTGAAAAATCTTTATTTGTTACATTAAATTTACATTGAAGACAAGTCTTAACCATGCGAACGTCTAGAAATCGGTGACTTGGCCTACTATTAGCCACAACCTGACCATTCCTGCTCATTTTGATAATTATCTAATACTTCCGTGACAAGTGTTTTGTCATGGAATGAAGTAGATTTCAGTTGTGATGTTTATTTATCACTGTTATCGTCATCATTCCTTTGATTTCGACGCCATTTTTTGTATTAAACAGACTCTAATATATAAACCAGACCCGAACCGAAATCCGGAAAAATGGAACCGGAACCGAACCGAACAACTTGGACCGCGGTTCTCGGTTATTTCGGGTACTCGTGACAGCCCTAGACTTAACTCAATATAAAATTCAGATTCTGACAATCCATAATGAATACTAATGTTCAGTTTTTTAACCTGGCCAGTTATTCAGATACCAAGTTTAAATTTATAAAATCTATAATCCTTTGCAAATTTTTTGTTTTTTTTAACAATTAAAAAAAAAAATCCTTAAAAAGCCTCACAAATTATTTTTAGATAGACTATTATGGTGATTCATATCATATTTACTTCCTTTTTTGCACTACAATAAGTAGGCCTTGAGAGAACTAAAACTTACACACAATAAAATATAATACATCAGTACTAAAAAAGATAAATTAGTAAACAACTCTACATTTTCCCTATCTCCTTGAGTCATATTTGCTATGGGTCAATGCACATGAATCCATTACTTATTACATTTCAGATCAATTAACATGTGTCGTATATTTTTACAAACATTTTAAAAGATCTATCAAGTAAAGATACATTATTAAGTCTTCATTTTGAAGTAAACAACATTTTCACATTATTCAGACCCATAGGAAGCAATTTCGGTTTTTGGGGACACAATAAAACAATTTTATTTGGGGGGGAGGGGGGGGGGCACAGCCAATTTGAAACAAAAGTCTTTGACCCAAGCAAAAAAAAGATTCAATCTTTTCTGCTTAATTTTCAATACAACTCATCAATGTTATACAGTTGAACTTCGGTATCTCGAACACTGATATCTCAAATACCATGGATATGTCAAAGTGATTTGGAAGTCCCAACTACTCATTATTTAAGTATTTTACCCTTGATATCTAAAATCATCGGATATCTTGCAGTTTTTTCTTGGTCCCTTCGAGTTCGAGATAACAAGGTTTGACTGTATATACCTGTCAAAGTATGTAATCATACATTATACTTTTTAAGGATATACTGATATATCTTGTACTTATATTTAGTAAATGATTGCTGCCTAATTCATTATATAAGTTACAAGCATTTATAAATATTATAGAAAATCCCTGTCTACTATAATCTTCTTCAGCAAGTTTCCTTTTCTTTCTTTTTTTTATTCAATGTTGACATGTTGACACTATCAATTTGGACTTTCTTCTTAATATGTATGTTTTTCCTTCCTTGTATGCCACCAAGGAACCTATATTGGTTTCAATAAATCTTGTCATCTTTCTGTAAGTTGTGTGTGTGTGTGTGTGTGTGTTGGGGGGGGGGGGATGAAGGGAGGGGAGGTTGTATCTAAATGTTATCACACATGCAATACATGTATATCATACAGTATCTATTATCATGATTATTTCACTGTACATGTATTTGTAAATCAATCAGTAATCTTTTTTCAAAGTTAGTACTTTGTGAATGACAGGAATACACAGTATGGGGAGATTTTGCTACATTTGTAATGAAAAAGGGGAGAGAATTCTGTAGAGGATATTACTAAAATACTCAAATATTGCATAATTGCTTTGATATAAAACTAAAACAAAAGACTTGGATTAAAGAAATAACTCAATTTAATTTATAATCTTAAATAAAACAATTAATTCTTTTAACGTAAACAAAATTGGGAATTTTAATATATCAAAGCTGAACCTTCATTTATTCACAGAATTAATTAATGTCTCTCAGACAGAAAGAAGGAGCCAGCAACTAAAACTTTAAAGAGCATTATATTTCAATGTAAACAGGCTGCATTAATACATTTATAAGACTGATATACACATATACCTATAATGTAAAAATGCATGGGCATATATATATGTTTTTAAATGGTACTAATTTATTTAGAAATTAAGCTTACCTATAATGTAGGAATTCCAACAGTGTGTGTGCATATTTATATGTCCTATATAGTAAATTTTAAATTCATTTCACAAATTACACTTCTTTCTTCCGATCTTGGGCTAATCCCTAATTGTGTAAACAATCATGAAATTGATAAAATTCCTCAGAATACATACATCAAAATCCCAAGCCCCTCGACTAAAATTTGTACAAAATACTGATATATGTATATTATCTAAGAGAACTTACAGGCAAAATTATTTCACTTACCACAAGTAAGCCCGTTTTTAAAATTAAAAGATCCTATAATCCTCAAAAAATTCAAAATCTTATAATTCAAAAAAATCACATTCCTTAAAATTAATCACTAAACATCACAAAAATCCTAGGAGATATTTCAAGACTCAGTGCAAACAGACAAGACTCAATGCAAAACTGTGCAAACACAGCTCATCACATAAATCTTAGATCCACCACAGAAAATTACTAAATCCTCGTATTAGAACAGAAACTAGGTGTCATTAAAAGTGCAAAATACCTACTAAATCCTGTGATCACCCCACGATTATCAAATACACACACAGAAATAATGATACACAAGCCAAAAGATTCGGTGCATTCTGCAAACTTTCAATATGTGAAATTCTCCTGCATTTTTTGGCAGTGATACATGTATGTATAATAACATTTGAGGCCCCAAAAGGGTAAAAAACCAATATATCTCATACATATACAACTGAACATGCAACAGGGAAGCTTTTTTAATTGAAGACAAATGCTGCATTTATTCATTCTTTTATAAATGAATATTTTCCTTAAAAAGAAATTATATATATTTTTACCAATTAAAATGTGTTGACACATGACATGCATGACAATTACTTTTCAGATTACTAAAACAACCTAACTTTTTTTTAGCATATGATAAAGAAGATGTTCATTATGTCACTGTATCGTGATCTACTTACATTCAGGAAGTTGTTACTAGAATTACACTCACTATTCAACTTTTAGTTATATATAAAAAAGAACCATTTACAGTTTTCAGCTTAAAAGAAAGGATAGGTCCACATTTAAAAAAAAATTTTTTGTCAATCTGTACTTTGCTTTTTTTAGCCCCTCCAACCCTGCCCCTCCAAATTGTTCTCCCTTTATTGTTAGGTCAAACAAGACGTGTTTGTGAAACACTGATGCCCCCGTATGGCAGCTCAAAGGTGAAAGGTTTTTCTTTTTTATATTTCATTTTATACATATCAGGGCTAGAGTCCTATGGGTCTCTTCAATTACTGTGAAATAAAGTCACCTCCTGAAGTTCAGTATCATTTACATTGATTTTTATTGCCAAGTAATGGTATCACAATTTTCCTCCCTAACTTTTCTGAAATCAATAACATTTTTTGTCATTTATCAAATTATTTATTTATTTACGATGTACTTCCAGTTGCCATCAAGTTTTTTTTTTTTTTACCAATTCCATTTCTATTTCATATTACATATTCTCAATACATTGATTGCATACATATAAAATGTAACCTCATGATTGAGCTGTATATATCTTTTTTTTTTTTTTTTTTTTTTTACAAATCCGCTGTCACAATTATGCTTTATCTTGTTCAAACAGTTCAAAGATAATCTCTGAATCCTATATTTCCACTATACTTTGTTTGCTAGGGAATAACAATAATTTCAGGTTGTCACATATATATTCATCTTTTATTTATAGGACTGATCTTACTGATATTTTGACTATGTATCATGATACATGGCTCTTAACATCAAATACATGCAGTCTAGTATCATACATTGTAGAATTTAAAACTGTGTACAGGAAAAAGTTTGCCCCCATTTTATTTTAGCCTAAAGGTGATATAGGGTAAGAATTCAACAGAGTTATCTCTCCTTTGACACATCTATACCTGGGAGAATTTAGCTAAAATGGAGCAAAATTGTCAAATCAAAGGTGAAATAGGTTAAAAATATCTGAGGCCTGTTATACAGTAATCCTAACTGAGTCAAATATAAAGAATTTAAGTTTATGAATCACTTGATCCAAATTACACTTTACTCCCTGCTAGAAATGTCATTTCCAATTAAAATAAAATATATATTTTCTTTTTCATTCTGTACACATTACTCGGTTAAAAAAATGTAAATTCTTTTCAATATAAAGCATAATAATTGTGTTAAAAATGTTGTAATCAGTATTACATCACAAGCACTTCATTTTGTCTGATTATCCTGATTATGTATTGTATCACAGGAAACATGGATATATCATCCCAGGCCTTGATTTAACCTACATGTTAGTACATCATGTACATGAGTATACTTTGTGAACATTGGCAACAAATTATCAACATAGTATTGGATGTCCGTAGAAGTATTAAATTGCTATATAAAGGCTGCACATAAGGAAAAATTTTTGTTCAGTCTTTGTGTTGAGTTCTTGAAGCTATAAAACAACATTTCATAAAAAGGACAAGGTATGGTAATGGCCGAATCCGGCCCTTTATTTGATGTAAAAACCAGAACACAGTTAAAATTGTGTTAGTTTGTAGTTAAGAACTTAAAATGATGCTTGTTTTAAAACCAGCACTAATTTTGCTTAAAAGCTTACAGGGAGGCCACAAGAGGGTGCAGAAGTAGGACATTTTGCTGAATTTCCTCAATTCTGGTGGAATTTCGTCAAATTTGAGATACTTTTCACTTCAGGAAACATAAAGCACAAACTTGCCTATCTGAGATTTTTATACATAAGATCCATCTTATACTAGTGTATGAAATATATGAATTTGGTAGATAGGCAAGCTTGTGCTCTGTTTTCTGAAACAAAATGTGCAGTAAAATTGATGAAAATTTGCATAAAAATGAGAAAATTCGGAAATATTATATATTTTATGACCTTCCTGTGACCTCTGTGTATCCCATAACTTAGAACTAATACTTAGAACTAATACTCATTTTGTGGCAGGGGTAACAACAGGTTTCTATTGAAAAACTGTTGTCTCATTCTAAAATACACCCCAAACTAGGGGCCAAAAAGGGGTCTTAGCCTATCTTGTCCTTTCATGGAGAAGGCCAATATGTTTAGTGAGGAGTTATGTAATTTCCATATAAAATATGTTCAGATCATTCAAATTGTTGCTATGGCAGTATGCATTTTAAAATGCTCAGACAGAGGTTTCCAACAAGAGCATAGATTTTCTGGTCAGTTACACAGCATCCAAATTCAATTTTACTTGACAGGTCAAGTAACTTGTTACAGCGAGCCATGTTAAAAATAGGAATTAAAAAGAACTGCAGCTACATTGGACTTTGGTCACACTTCAAAATTGACTGATCCCTGCCAAGTCAGCCATTATTTTTTTTAACACTGTCATGGACTCCTTAGTAAACCAGATCAGAATATGTCAAATCCTCACTTAAGGAAATCATGCAAATTCATCCATCCATTAGTGAACATATATTCATAATAAAAAAAATGAAAGATTTCTAAACCTTCCAAAACATCCATCCTACCTTTTCTTCATCCTTGGTCACTATGGCAGATGAAGTGAGGCTCTCAAAAGGGTCACTGGAGACAGACACCAGAGGGAGGCCATCGTCTGACGAGGATGTTTTTGGGGTCTTCTCCTCTCCCACTGAGGTCAATGGGGTCTGGTCATTGGATGGTGACGATTCAGACAATACTGCTTCATCGTCCACTCTGATGCTTATTCGACCAGCTGATGTTTCGTACACTTCCCGTCGACTCCCAGAATCTACTTTCTCTTTCTCTTGTACTTTTGTTTCTTCAATAGCTTCTTCCAAATTGTCATCAAATGAATCTAACTTAAAAATCACTTTGGAAGTTTCTGTGGCCAAATTATCACTTTTGTCTAAATTTTCTGTCACAGGTGGGCGATTTTTAGTAAAATTTTTACTTTTTGGGGAGGTGGGACCTCCTAAAGCCTCTAGATTCATATCACTTTTCACTCCAGAATAGGATAAGAGACTTTCATTACTAATGCTACCAAAAGACATCAGAGATTTTTCTGTCCTTTCTAGTAAGTTCACATCACTCTTAATACCAGTGTACGACGATAAACTTTCACTGCTTATACTGGTGACTGACAGTACAGATTTATCTGCCCTTGGCATGCTCTCCCCCTCCCCACGCCCCTCCCCTGCTGCCTCACACTCTGGGGACGAGAGGTGGTAACTCGCCTCCGTCGTTGTTGATTGTGTCGGGGATGAGGTGTCCGAGGGCGATGACCCAGACTCCTCCATGCTATCCTCTGTTGTGTCAAAGTTAAAAATAGACTGCTGAGAAATAGTGGTCTTTTGCTCATTTGAGGCTTCTTTTGACTCTGAAACAAAATAAATATTCACTGACTAGAATTTCCCAAAAACATACCAGATGTGAAGTTTATATTTTTATCATATTACTTGAGAGAAGCCTTTTACAAATACTTAATGAATTCTTATATATAAATTTTGTAATTTTTAGCAATTACTTAGACATCACAAGTAAAATTCCTATCAAACAAACATTTGTACACATCCCTACATATCATACAAATTAGGATTATTACTTATGTGTTGTTTTTTTATTACCTTCTCCTCTCTTCTTCAACAGGAAACATATTTAATCTTATAGGAAACAGGAACTCCGATTTTTTTTCCTTTTTTAGGAAGTGTCATCACATATTAATGCTGAGAATGCTATTTTTTCTTCCACATACCTACTCAGTCTATTATACAAGTAATGCATTCTTAACTTGTTCTAGTGACCATGTCAAATTCTTGTTTAGATGGAAGGCATGTAATAAAGTTTTTTTTAAAAATTTTTCCACATATTTCAAATAATTTTTTTTTATATACCAGTATATCAAAATACAAACATGAATGTTTTTTTTTTTTTTTTTTTTTTTTTTTTTTTTTTTTTTATGTAAATTCATTTTTCAATTTTGCTCACTGTTTTAGAAAATAATTTTTTTCTAAATAAATGTTATTAAGATTAGTACAACTTAAATTAAAATTCTCAAAAATATTTGAAGCACTCTTGTCTAGAAGGAAATGGTTGTCTATCTTTCCGTGTGGATTTTCCCTTCTTTTTTAAAAAAAAGGGGTTTTTTTGTGCACTATAGGGTTACATACAATATATTTTTTATATTTTAACATAGTAAACATATCACTGATAATGTCAGATAATTATATATTTTATCAACTTAAATACATTTCTCCAAAAAATAAAATCTGTTTCCTTCATTAACAAAAATAAATATATTGCTTGTGTTCATATATTTATACACCTTATTGAATTAAGGCGATTGTAGGTCTCCCAATTAAAAAAGTCACTGATTAAGTATTATTCCTATATACATATAGATTCATATTTACATATATTCTTACATATTCATATCTGGTAGTAATCTCTTATTTCTACAAGAACAACTACAGGGTTGTCCCTAAGACCCGGGGGCCAGGGAATTTCCCCGCCTATAATGACATAATCCCCCTGGTTATTCTGGTATTCTTCCTCAACCCCCTGTTAGGGGAGGAACCTGAGACACCCTTCTACTTTTTTAATGTCCCCTGCTATTTCAATTCTTAGGAACAACCATGAACTAACATGAATCCCCAGATCAAGCATACATACAGTAGTTTTAGAATTTTTTCACTCACCTGATTGGACAACTTTGACCGCATTCTGAAACACAGAGTTTAACAGACTTTCTGCCATTCGTTGTGTAGGTGATGGGATTTCTTGATCTGTTTTTTCTAAAAATAAATGCGAAAAAAATCAAAATCAGGAAATCTCAAAATAATTGTATACATATCACGACTATAGAATATATTTGAAGAATATAAGTAAACTTACTATTTCTCAGTAAAATGATATAGAGTCAAACCTCGTTATCTCAAACTTGATAAAACTGAGAAAATACTTTGAGATATCAAAGGATTCAAGATATCCAGGGTAAAACACATAAGAAACAAGCGCTTAAGTCTTCAAAATAACTTCGACATATCCATTGTATTTGAGATATTGGTGTTTGAGATACAGAAGTTCAACTGTACTCAGTCTGGGTTTTTTTTTTCAACATTAATTTTAGTTTTCCATCCATACTATTTCACAAATCTTGCTTCTCATACGCAGACTTCCTGTTTCTCAGCAGAAAATTCTTCCTCAACCATTCCTTTTCTCCTTACCCATTTCTTCCTCTTTATTCATTCCTTCTTCATTCTTTCTATCATCTTCCAACTCCTTTGTCTTTCTGTCACTCCCCCCTTCTTCCATTATCCCATTGATACCTGCCTCCTCCCGTTCTGGTACATGGGATGATTCTTTCAGAATTTCCTCTCGGACCGTTTTGGGGGCTTCCCCGCTGATTTTACGGAAACTGGAACTCTCCACAACTTCACGGTCCGCTTCGTGGGTAACTAGGTCGTAGGTTCCGTGTAGAGGATCCACCTTTGACAGGTAATCTGTTTCTAGGGAGAGAAGCTGGCTATTGCTGGCTACCTTCTTCACACCTGTCAATCATAAAGGTATGAAATCAGGTAAATATACAATTCCGGTTGTGTTTCCTAAGTAACAGTAAGTAATCCATGATGAAATAAATTAATTGCAGTTCCACACAAACCCAGGGTTGTCCCTAAGACCTGGGGGCTGGGGAATTCCCCCGCCAATAATGACATAATCCCCTGGCTACTCAAGTATTCCCCCTTATCCCCCTGTTAAGGAAGGAACCTTAGAGATCTCCTACTATTTCACTTCTTAAGGACAACCCTGCAAACCAATTCTCTACTTAAGAAAATAAGAGTCACACAGATTTCCATAGTGTTGTCAGTTAAAACAAAATATCAATCAAGGTAAAGTTTACATTTCAAACATGCACATGTTGAAGAGTTTATCATGATTCAAACAAAGTATCAATTTTTATTCATCTTATAATTCAATCAAATAAATAAATGCAATCTTACATAAAACAAAAAAGATAATCTATTTCAAAGCTTTATCACAATATGGATAAATGTAGACTCAACATTAAACAAAAGATGTACCGATTATTGTAAGCTTAATACAAGTATATCCCATGTATTTTCATTTTAAGGAAGATTTTCTTGTGTACTATACATACATAACCATGATAACAGACTCTTTGTTTTTGTCTCATCATAATTCAAATGGCTCTTGCATGAAATTGTTGAAAACTTTTAATAATAAATATGTACAGACTGGCTAGTAATATTCAAAATTTCTTCAAAGTAAGGAATGAATTGTAACGACAGAGATGTAAGCACTAAATGATTTTTTTCTTGACAAATTTTACAGAATAATGCTCATAACTATTTTTTATGATAATATTCATTTAATGTATGTTTACACTTATGTTGATTTATATCTATTGGCATTTATCAAATGTTACAAAAAATTATATGTTCAGAATCCTAATTTCAAAACCTTTTTTTACACTTCATTCAAATTTGTTAGTACACAGAGTAAAGCCCTACCATTATCTAGACTCTCTGCAGTCAAACCCTGCCACACTGAATTCACCGCATCCTGCTTCTCAGGTTTGACCTCAATGACCTCTGGAATCTCAGCAGTACTAGGAGACACGGGTGTGTTGTCAATCAAGGACTGATTTGGTTCAAAGTTGTCCAACACATGTTCAATCAGTTCTCCAGCCAGAGAGAAGGCCACATCCTGTATTGGGTTATCTCCCTTCCCTGGTTCACTGTCGCTTGACTGGTTCCCTTCCTGCTGACTTCTCTGACTAAAATCTTTTCCCATAGTTCCATTGGATTTCCCATGATTCCCTGCTGGGCTATCACCATTATTGTCATCATTAAAGTCTAGGTCTAATAACTGACTTCCTGAAGCTTCTTGACTGTCTTTCAGCATCTCTTGAGCAATTCCCTTTGCCACTACATTTTCTGGTTCAATGGATACAGGGTCAAAGTCCAGAAAACTTGACTCCTGAGAGAATATCACAGATTTATCCTGACTAATATCCAGCAGACGACTGTTGAGTGAATTTAAATCCAAGCCTTGACTTTGATATTTTTCCATGTTAGATTCCACAAAGCTGTTTTTAGGAGTAAAAGGGGAATAAATTTGTGATGGATCACTCCCTTCTACTCCTCCTGGAGACATGGATGAGTTCACATCTGGGTCAGCAAGCCTACTACCTAATGTGGAGCGCTTCTGCTTCACCTGCTGAACCATGTCTGCATTATTAAGACTTGGCAAAATGTGTTCGTTGGCTAGAGTGTCGAAATTACTTTCCATGAAGCTGTTTTGTGGAGTAAACGGGACACTGTCATCTTCTTCAGCTGCCTTTTCTTCCTCCATTATACCTCCTCCCATACTCGCCCGTTTCTCCTGAATTCGTTGTACCATTTCTGCACTATTAAGACTCGGTAGATCAGATTCATGATCATAAAACTCACTAAACTGTTCTGACACAAAGCTGTTCTGTGGCGTAAATGGAACATTCTCCTCCTCTTGATCAGCAGACGACAGTAAATCCACTTCTCCACCTAAAGACTTCCGCTTCTGTTCCACTTGTCTCACCATTTGAGAATTATTTAAAGTTCTTAAATTATGTTCCTTGGCCAATGAGTCAAACTGCACATCAGCCACACTATTTTGAGGTGTAAAAGGATAACTGTCCATCACATCTTTCATCTTCTTGGTTCCTTTCATCATTTGGCGCTTCTTTTGCTGAATTTTTTCAATGGTTTCAGCATTGTTCATACTAGGCAGAGTGAATTCGTTGTTGGCATGGAAACCAGTTGAGATCAAACTATTTGGTGGTGTGGCGGTTTCAGGAGGAGTTACAGTATGACTAGGATATTCTGACCCAGGACGAGAGTTCCAGGCTGAACCAGGACCAGAGGAAGCCTCTGAGAGACTCTGCATCAAATCTGGGGTGCGTAGTGGGGACTCCATGACATCAGCCTCTGTGAAGTCTCCCAACAAATCAGGGACTCCTGCTGAGGAACTTGGCTCCACAGGGGACTTTGGCAGAGTTATGCTGATTTTGGGGTGCTTTCGTTGTACAGTATCTTCAAACAATCCTAACAGATCTTGAGAAGCTGTCTGATTATTAGAACTGTCTGTTGTTAAAGGGTCAAAAAGAAGGTCCTGGTTTGTGCTACATGGTCCACTGCTCATTACCACAGATGGGGAAGCAGAATTATTTGAAAAGTCTAAAAGTGTGTTTGATTGCCCCACTGACTCAACTGTCCCAAAAGGGTCAAAGTTCAGCAGCAGGTCATCCTGAGGTACATTTGTTGTTTGCAAAAATGACTTGACCAAAGGAAGGACTTTCTTTCTGGATGCCTTGACATTTCCTTGGTAATATGCTAAACAGTTTTTGAATTCACAGGTGAAGAGCTGAAAATCTAATTGAATTTCTTCATTTGTTTTCAAGAACTCAGCAAGCTGAAATTACAAAAAAAAGTCATGAAATATTCAAAGTTGCAGATATATTTCATAAAAAGATGCTTTGTTACTTTCCAATCTATTTGCTACAAATTTATTTCATTATTCTTTTAACCCAACAAAATTTTGATGTCATCCTTCTTTCAAGTGTTAATTTCATCCTTCTTTAATTGAGAAGAAAATTTGCATTTTTTTCTAAATAAAATCTTCATCATTAGACCTTAAAAATAAAGTATACTGCACCATAATCATTTTCAGGTGTATGTATTTTTCAATTGAAAATTAAAGGAATCAAATATCTATACTTTATGAAAACATTCTCTGTTACTTGTATCAATTACCTTAGTTGTTTCCTCCACACTATTGGAGAAAATCAAAATTTCCCTGCGGGGCACCCCTGTATCTACATGCATTGTCATGACAACTACACTCTGCCCTTTCCGGTCAAGCATAACAGAATTCATGGACTCTGACACATCAGAACGCTGAAGAAACACCTTAAGATAGAAATATTACAAATATTTTACTAAAGCAATTCCAAGGAATATGTGTTGTCTGCAGGTATATATGTGTTACTAAACAATGAACAGCTAATCAGATGGTATGACAGACGGACATACAGACAATGGTCAAAGTCATCCCCAAGTATCTGTATGTACACAATAATTATGTATTTATTAACTTTTCTATACTGTGTAGAATTTTTTTTTTTTTGTATACTGTACTGTTGATGTTTTATAATTTGTTTTTCTTTTTTTAATATATACAGTAAAACTTGTCTAATCCGGCGACCAGTGGTTCCAAAATTTTTGACCGGATTAGGCAATAGCCGGATTGGAGAAAATTGAACCGTTATAGCAAGTTAAAAATTACATAGATATAAACAAAGAGTGCATGGTAAATAAATACTTGATCAAGTGTGTCATTTGAAAAAAATCGTCTATTTCCGTTTGTTTTGAACTCTGTTTGTTCTTCAGAATTTTCATTTCTGCTTAAGTTTTTTATTCAGTATCGAAATATAATATCTCTTGATCATTTATCAAATTTGAAAATCGTTTAATGTTTTAAACAACTCCAAAACCTCATCGTAGCTGTATATATTATTTTGTTAGGGACAGATTCCTAATTAATTTCTTTCTTTTAAAATTAATATGTTTGAATATTTAGACACTGTATTAGTTAATTTCAAATGTCATACATGTAATGAATATTGAACCAAAATCTTCTGTCGCTATGGTCGTTGTAAACTAGCGACACAAAGGGAAGTAATTCGAATTGCACGTCGTACACGCGAAACGAAAGTAGAAAGGAGGTCATGAATAAGTCTCCAAGATTTTCTACAGACATGCTACATATAACCATCACTATCACTCATTCTTTTGCGAGTTTCCTCGCCTTACTTGAGCCATTTTTTTTTATCACGTTTGTTAAAATCTAAACTGTCGATACAGGATAGATCATTAACGGGACAATAATTACCCCACGCGAGACTTCTCTAATGACCAGCGGGCACAGGTAAAAATAAGTGGCCGGATTAGAGGAGATAATTTGTACTAATTATGAGCAGTTAGTTCTTTAAATAGCGGCCGGTTTACAGAATAGGCAAGATCCGGATTGAACAACAATTATTAAACATAAATTAAAAAGAAAATTCAAGGGACTAAAATATTACGCCAGACTGAACAACATGCCGGAATGCACAACATCCGGATTCAACAAGTTTTACTGTATATAATTTTTTATTTATCCATAAAAAGTGTGTCAAATTGACTGCTGGTCATTCTGCATGTATACCTATACATATGTCATTCTGTCCGTATATACATGTACCAACCTCCAAAGACACTGGTATTGATGACATTACTACTGTGTGGTTACCATGGGTGACACACTTCAGGTCTTTTTCCAGGACTTCCTTTGTGTTCAGAGCTACAAACAGGAAGTGAACATCAAGCTTTTCAACAGGTTAACTGTTTTGGCTAGTTGCCAAGGACTACTACGTAAATTTTTTATATACACATATACACTTACATGAAGTGTCAGTGAAATTTCGTACAATGAAATGTTAAAGAAGGTGTACTGAAAATAGAAATGTCTCTTATACTGGACAATAAAATAGTAAATTGTTTTTTCTAGTTTTAAGTTTAATCCCAAAAGTTTCCTGATTTGTTGATGTAAATAACTGCATTTGACGTAGAAAACTCAAAAAATAAAAAGGAAAGAGGAAGGAGCTGCAAGGAACTTCTCTTTCACAAAACAAAAACTTTTTCTGATCTAATCATAAATTTATTATTTTTCAAATAAAAGAAATATTAAATAAGTATGATAAACTTTTTTCTGTACAATTTCTAAGGTTAGTGCTTAGATTCTCTCCCTTTACTAACTGGTTATCGATCTTGATCATAATTCTGAGTCCCGTACTAAAACCATTTTCTCCATACATATTGAATATATTTTATTTTTTCCTAAATCTCTAAATAAATTCCTAGATCCTCCCCCTAAAACCTTTACCAGAGATATCATTCTTTGCCTGCTGGATATCACTATAGAGTTTGTCCTTATCTAGGTCAGGTACTATCTGGGTCAGTCTGCATAAGATCTCCTGGTCATACGGAGTTGTCTTTCCTGCCTCTGGACTTGTATTCACTGTATTAACTAATATGGTACCTGTTCAAAAAAAACAAACATTATCATACCTGCTTATATTTATGTAGACAATCATGTACATGTATATTATTATAAAACATTGTAGTATAAATTTGTTTTATACCATACATGTTAGAAACTTCAAAACTGCAAGGGATCTAGAATGATTGACTGTATGTTGTTTTATGTCTCATTCGAGAATTTTTCACTCATATAGAGACGTCACCATATACCGGGCTCGGTTTTTAAGGTCAAATCTGAACAACCCACAACTTCCACTTCAAAGTGCCGAGCACTTGGTGAAGGAGCAATTGCTACCTTTATTTTATTGACTTAGGTCAGTCACGGCCGAGATTCAAACTCAAGATCTCCCAATCACGGAACAAGCGCTCTACCAACTGAGCTACCGTGAAGGCCTCAAGAAAATTGACCCGTGTACTGCTTTTAAATATTGTAAACATACTTTTTTCCACAGTGGTCATAATTCTATGGTATCACAATTTGTGTTGAATCCAAGGGCAGTAAATTGCACGGGTTTCTTGGATTGCCATTTTATGTCTTATATGCACTTTAAGTACACTGACAAATTTCCATGAAATTCTTGAGCACATACATAGCTTATATTAATTCCACACAGAATAGGGTACATCTACGGTGTACAACACTGAGTCAATGTTCTCCTTCAAATAAACTGAACATAGCTTGAAAACTAGAGCCGAGCTCGTTGCAATGCAACGAATAGGTCTTCCGTCTGAGCTTCGGACAGGACATAGTGACCTTGAGTCAAGGTCATGCAACATTTTAAGGTTATAAACAATCCTGTAAGGGGCATCAACTTTCAATGTTTCAACAGTAGAAAGACAGTTAAGGAATGTAAAATTCGCCCGTCAGTGAAATGGGACTTGTCTAAATAACCTTGCGTCAAGCCATGACACATTCTGCAGCTGGTTAAGAGCAAACACCATCTGTATGTCACCGACATAAAAAAAATCACAGTCACGTATTCTTTCAGACTGTGATTCATCCAAAACATCATATTCTAAGTGACCTCGAATTTAAGTCAAAGCCATTACACACTCTGGATGATATATTTATCAACTTTTCAGTGAAATGCAAATGCATGCAATTTTTTCTATTACAAAATTATGGACCTTTTTGTTTGTTTGTTTGTATGTTGTTTAACGTCAGCTTCGAGAATTTTTCAATCATATGGAGACGCCACCATTTGCCGATGGAGGTCTCCAATTTTGACCTATACTCGGCACTCATGGCAATTGAGCAGTGAGGGATCTTTTTCGTGTCAGCACCTACTGCCAGACAGGACCTCAGTTTGTAAGGTCTCATCCAAAGGATCGGTCTCTGCATCCCACAGTGGGATTCGAACCTGCGACGTAAGGATCAACTCCTTAATCCACGACTCTAGAGCAGACACTCTTACCACTGCGCCACGTGGGCGACTAGACCTTTTTGAATTTTACACTTATTATATCAGTGACCTTGATCTTGCCTAAATGACCTATGTTAAGGTCAAAAACAACCTTTGAACAAATTATGAGCTTCCAGTGATACTCAATGACAAAGATACACCTAAAAAAGAATATTGCACTTTTCTGTCAGTGACCTTGAACTTGCCAGAAAGACCTTGGATCAAGGTCAAAACACATTCTTGGATCATAAGCAATCTCTGTATCAAGTAAAAGCTTCCAGTGATTTTATATAACAAAGTTATAGCATGGGGAAAAAAATAATATTTATCTGCCAGTGACCTTGAACTTGCCGAAAAAACCTTTGTTCAAGGTCAGGACAAACCCATCTAAAGCAATCTGAGAAAAAGTTTCCTGCGTTCCTCCCACCCCTTATAAATTTATAATCCAGGCACGAATTTTGCAATTTCTTCTGCCTGTCTAGTACTATGTTATCTCAAACCGGTGGATCATAAGCAATCTTTGTTCCAAGTATGAGCTTCCAAAATTATAGCACATACAGTAATCTTACACTTTTCTGTCAGTGACCTTGAACTTACAGGAATGACCTTGGATGAAGGTCGTGTCAAACCATTTAATTTTGTCATAAGCAATTCCTGTATCAAGTATGATACTTGCTATTTTTTTCCAGTGACCTTGAACTTGCCGGAATGATACTGGATCAAAACCATGACACACCCTCGGATCATTAGTAATCTTTGTACCAAGTGGACCTTCCAGTTTCTTCATAACAAAGTTATAATATCCTTGGCAAACTATCACGTACAGACGGACAGCTAGGCAGACGAACAGTGTGATTCCAGAAGACTCAAAACACCTCCACCCCAAACCCACACACTTCGTTTGGGGGGATATATAAATTCCTATGTTAAATTATGAACACTCTTTCCGGCCCAAACCTTCTCCCTGGAATCAATATCTGAAAAAAAAATGAATGTATCCTATGTTGGAAATTTTCTCATTCTAGTCCATGGGTTCTTGAGAATACTATTTTCAAATGACCCCATGCGCGGATCTAGAGGGGCTTGGGGGCAGTTAAATGTATATACTAAGCCAAGTAAAAGTGACCATGCCCCCCCCCTAGAAAACGCGGACCCTTCCTCGAAAACGCGGATCTGTGTTAAAATGGTATGAAAAGTCTTAGGTATGAAGCTTTAAAAGTCAGCGACCCCCCCCCCATACACACACACAAACACACACACGAAATTGGTTTTTCACGTTTGGGAAAAGAGTTTCTTTTTTTGGCTCGTCAAGAAATTTCTGGGTTGAAATTTTTTTTTTTTGGGAACCCCCCCCCCCGTGGAAAAAAATTCCTTGATCCGCGCCTGGACCCCATCTAACTTTTACTACATGTATCCGTTAAAAGAGGATTTGACCCTTCATTTGAATAAAACTTTACCAAAAATATTCTGTGTTAATTTTCGTTGTTATGGTCCTGTGGTTCTTGATAAAAATGAGAAAAATTTACAAGTAGCTTTAGAACAACAACGAGATAACGCTCATATACACCAAGAAAGCAAACAAAGATGAAGAATTATGAACAGAAAAGCTTCCTTGGGTCTTTGGCTTGGAAGGTGAGATACTTATTAAAAATTGAAATTATTTTGTCATTTTTTTTTACAATCGACGGGCCTGCATTTCAAAGAGAGAGAGAGAGAGAGAGAGAGAGAGAGAATTTCTAGCTAGGTCTTTGAATAACAGTGACATCGGTTCAGAAAACAAGGTCCCTAGGAATGTACATGTATATAAAATAGGCAGTGCCTATCTCTCTCGGAATTCATCACCTGCTTCTGTAAAGCTCCATCCTCACTTGTACTGACATGTACCTGGTAAAACCAACCGACTGCGAAAGGAAAACTTTCTATTTATTTCGAGGATGGGGGTATACGTATAGTGATGAGAGGAAATTTATTCACCTATACGTTCATTAAATATGAAAGATTGCTTCTGAGTATTTGTATACGATCGCACGACTTTCGTGTTAATTTCTAAAAGTTGGATTATGTAAGCAAAGAACTAAACTTACATTTGTTGTAGATGAGTAAAATAATTAATTAGCCGTTTATAAGTTTTTTTAACATCTGTAAGAACCACTTTTTAAAAAAAAAAAAAACAACAAATAATCGTCCTATTATGGGCGCCCATGATATATTAGACAAGGTGTTTAATTAAAACATAATTCAGATATCGACATCCAGGAGAACAACACATTCTTTTTTCAGTGGCGGATACAGGAGTCTTGAAAAGGGGGCCCGACCAGTTTTGGGTCGGGGTAGGGGCCCAAACCCACATAAAAAAATTGATTTATTAAATCTTGTGTATATTTTGGATACAAAAGAGGGCAGGCCCCCTGAACCTCCTCTAAATCTGCCAGCGTTTTTTTTTTCATTATCTATCAAACGCGTTGACAAAGTCAAAAAGACGGTTTTAGTTTTTAGGGCATTTTTACAGTGATATGAGAAAAGTCTGATAATTGCTGTTAATTTTAAGAAATAAAGTTCGTCATTTTTCAACCTCGTTCGGTATAATATAATTTACTGATAATTTTTTCCGTTAAGGAGGAACACATGGACGAAGGATAAAAAAGCGGTATTCTGCATGTACATGTACACATCATTGCTATAATTGTGTACTCGGGATTAAACCCCAAATCCTTCGTTACATTGTATTTGGGTATAATTTTCACTTGTTCTCAGGCGGATAATCATTTATTTTTATCTGTCTAAAGACAATAATTTCAGTTAATAGAGAAATGTTTTTATTTCGTCGTTTTTCCCCATCCTTTTGGTTTACACGTTTGCTTTGTACACAAAAGCGTGTGTTCATGTACCGCTGTTTCTACACGCTATCGATGTGATCAGGGAGAACATGATATCATCCAGCAATTTATTTCTTATGAAAACACTTAATGAAAACATATTAGGTGAAAATATATATACCCGTTAGTATCTTAGTACCTGAGTATCGACCTGTTTAATTGCAGTGTCACCAACCGTAACGATCGCTGGCCAGGACTTGAATATAATTTATTACCGTTATTAAAACAACTCGTCAGCTGAGCGGACCTATGATTTAAACAGTAAAATAGGGAAATTCCAGAGTTCGAAGTGTATATATTTTGGGCGCTCTTCCACATAAACAAATAAAACCGCATTTACGCGTACTTACATGCATGTACCAGTAATTCGTGTCATGGGTAAATTCAGTTTATTAGATGAAATAAAACAAATGCATAAGATTAATCTTCCTAAACAACACGTTTTTAAAATAATCTGTCTGATATAAGGGACGGTATAAAATAACAAAGAAAATAACGGGTTTGTGTTTGTATTTAATTTAGAATGAGAACAAATCTTAACCTGTCAAATCATTTATAAAACATACTTCGTTTTCCAGACACTAATTGCCATGCGTAATCTTCACATGCACTGACCAAGAGGTCTCAAGTTCGAAATGTATGGCTTCTCATTGCGTGAATTTTGTCAACACATGTCGGAACAAACTATCTAAGCCAATTGATTCCCAAAGAAAACTGCATAGGAAGGGTTTTTTGGTACACTTTTTAACGGGTAAAATTCTTTCGACGTTCGATAGAATTTTCAAATACAAGTGAAATATTTAGGTTACTTGCGTCCGACCTAGTATTTTGTATGCAATAATATTGTAAGTTAGGAAGAAAATAATACAAACTCAAAAGTACTTAATTTTATTTTCGATTTTCCTGACAATTAAAAATGTGACCTCTACGTACAATTATCGTGATAATTATATACATGCTGTTTAATGTTCATGAAAGAAATAGCAACTTGTTAAATAATAACATTAGAGAGATAAATAAACTGTTTCTTTAATACGCAAACAAAGTGGTCTTTTCGGCATTCAAAATGCATTGAATTTGAAGTGAATAAGTAAAAGGCAGTTAAGACTGGCTGATTAAAACGAGCGAGTGATAAACAGTAAGACGAAGTCATATGAAAGATTCGAAATGATTTTAAAGTAATTTTCCACAAAGCGCAATTATCTCAACATCGAGAAACACAATGTTTATAAAAATAAATATGCAACTTTCTTGTAACATGTAAATTGAAATGTACTAGCGACTTAATCAAAGATATTACGAAATAGTCTGAAAGATTCAACATATTTATCCACTCATCACTTAGTTAACAAAATGTATTTGGAATGGCGATTCTATGGATTGTTTTGTGTATGACCTTAGGTCGCTGGTTCACACGCCGATTGATCCTCGGTGACCTCCTTTGCCACGCGCTATCGAGGGAGGGGTTACATAATTGTAAACACACAAAGTGAATGTAAAAGGCGTGTACTTAATGGCTGTGAATAGTCTATGTTTAAAGTTTTGTTTTATTTTCTAACTTTATTGTTTGTTTTTATATGATAAGAAGAAAAGATTATCTTTTTTTCCCTGTTTAGTAGACTGGTTTATCCAAATTTGAAAACAAACGAAATAAAAGGGAAAGTTGTCAGTAAATAATTTGGAAATAAAGCACAAAATACTTCAAGAACCTGATTCTAAAGAATATTAGCATCTAATGTAGCTAGGTTTATTATTTATAGTAAGTTTATTTTAATTACACGCATGAAGAGCTCTTGTTTACTTGCTGAATGAAAACACTTACCTGTATATGTGTTATGCTTCTAGCTCATTTAGAACACAAGACTCAAACAAAATAACATTTTCTTGAGATCAATAAGATGTTAAATAACAACTTTAATTACGGCAGCTATTTCGAAATATTTACCGTTTTTGAGTTATAAAGCAAAAACTTTAAAGGGCCCCAGATCCCTAATTTTAGGGGCTAGACCCTTTTTAGTGGTGTCAAATGAAAGGCCTTAAAATTGTGCACAACTTTTATTCTACATGTTTTATCAAAATATTTTTAGTTTAGAAGATAAAAAGGAAAATATGTGTAAATTTTCGCTCTTTTAGGCGTTCTAATTTTTGACCCCTCTCTAGCGCCATTTTGAATACAGAAATTGAAAAACAAAAACCGATGTGCACAACTTCAGTGCTTCTATTATTTAAATTCGGTAGAATTTCTACTCCAGCTTTTGTAGTCTCTGAGCCTTTGTCTGGAAATGAAGCGTCCTAAATTTTCATTTAAAGGGAGATAACCCAAAAGCGGAACTGAATTTTTGAAGTGTTTGACAGCATTCTGATAGAGTTTTGTAACGTCTATAAACCCTGCAAATTTGAGCAAAATCCGTTGAGAAATGAGCAAGATATGAGGTCTCAAAGTTGGCGTCTAGGAAAAACTAGAAATATGTCCATAGGACATGAATGCCCCGCCAAGGGTATATTAGTAATGCAACATTTTAACACAAATTGAGAAAAGTGAGGTCAAGGTCAAAGGAAAGGTCAAGGTCAAAAAATATTGCTGCAGTTGAATAGCTTACATCAGTATGTATCAGCATATGACGTTTGATTCAGAAACTAATTTAAGAAAAGTGAGGTCAAGATCAAAGGAAAGGTCAAGATCAAAAAATGTTGATGTAGTTGAAAAGGTTACATCAGTATGTATTAGCATATGAAGTTTGATGAAAATATTATGAATGGTTTCTTTAAAACTGAGCTAAACACTAATTTAAGAAAAGTGAGGTCAAGGTCAAAGGAAAGGTCAAGGTAAAAAAAATTATGCAGTTGAATAGCTCTCATCAGTATGTATCAGCATATGAAGTTTGACACTAATTTAAGAAAAGTGAGGTCAAGGTCAAAGGAAAGGTCAAGGTCAAAAAATGTTGATGCAGTTGAAAAGGTTACATCAGTATGTATTAGCATATGAAGTTTGATGAAAATATTATGAATGGTTTCTTTAAAACTGAGCTAAACACTAATTTAAGAAAAATGAGGTCAAGGTCAAAGGAAAGGTCAAGGTCAAAAAATATTGATGCAGTTGAATAGCTCTCATCAGTATGTATCAGCATATGAAGTTTGACACTAATTTAAGAAAAGTGAGGTCAAGGTCAAAGGAAAGGTCAAGGTCAAAAAATGTTGATGCAGTTGAATAGCTCTCATCAGTATGTATCAGCATATGAAGTTTGTTAAAAATATCTTGAATGGTCTCATTAAAACAGAGCTAAACATTAATTTAAGAAAAGTGAGGTCAAGGTCAAAATAAAGGTCAAGGTCAAAAAAATGTTGATGCAATTGAATAGCTTACATCAGTATGTATATATGAAGTTTGATTACACTATCTTGAATGGTATCTTTAAAACTGAGCTAAACACTAATTTAAGAAAAGTGAGGTCAAGGTCAAAGGAAAGGTCAAGGTCAAAAAATGTTGATGCAGTTGCATAGCCCTCATCAATATCTATCAGCATATGAAGTTTGATAAAAATATCTTGGATAGTTTCTTTGAAACTGAGCTTTGAACAGAGCTAAACGCAAAGTGTGACGGAAGGACAGACGGAAGGACAGAAGGACGGAAGGACGGAAGGACGGAAGACGGACATGACAAACACTATATGCCCCGGCCATATTCATGGCGGGGCATAAAAAAAAAGAATAATAAGAATAATCTTAACCATCAGAATCAGTAGAAGGTCTTCCGCCTGGAGCGGAAGACCTTAATAAAATGGAACTGAATCATCCATTAGAAGCTTTCTTTATCAATAGCTACTTCATCACTAATTGCATGAAATCAAAGAGATTGATAATGCTGTGCCTCATATGGGGATTTATAAACATAAAAAGCTCTCAGATTAACCAGGGCAAGTTATATCAGCATTCAGACAAATGAAACCCAAGATATAACATTTCAAAGTTGTGAACTATGGTGAAAACTGTCTAATCCAGCACTTGTGCAATCTGTTTCTCTGTGAATTCTGATCTTCATTTTCACTGACTTCCTATTTTACTATTTTCCATGATCTTTTTACTGTGTAATCCGACACACTGTCTATTCTGACATAAAATTAGTTTCACTGTATTTTTTTCTATTAATTGTCATTTCTCTGGACAATCTAATATCATGCCACATTTAAAATAAGCCCATTTTAGAGTCTATGTGCACATAAAAACATAGAGACAATTTGTAAGTTAGCCAGTTACCATGTACTCCACTGGAAATAGAATTTAAGCAAACTGAGAGGTACCTTTTATCAAAACAGTCGCATACTGCAAATTTAACCTAAGGTTAACATTGTGGCAATGTGATACATTTACTTTGGTAACACAGTGACATTTAACAACTTTATTTTAATATCAGAGTAAGCAATATGCAATTGCAGCAAAATATAGGCACTAATAGTTTACCGGTAAATTGCAACCTTAGCATGACAATTAGTAAATTCACTTAGTGTCAGAGTTAATCTAGCTTACCTCTAGAAATAGTGTCAATTTACATGGTAACTGACTGACAAATTTAAATTTTATACCTAGTAACAATGTGGCAACTTGTGGGCATATTGTAAATTCTGGACTGTCCAGTAGAATTCTGGCTACTAAAGAACTGCAGGAACCCACAAGGTCCTGGATTATCTTCACCCTACAATAAAAAAGAAAACACTCAAAGTGAGTACTAACCAGATTTAGGTAGGGATAATGTATAAGACTCTGTTAGGAATATTTGCCCTGTCCCTTTGAAACCTTGGAGCAACATAACTAGAGTAAAGAGGAGTCATTGCAAGAATGCAAGGGCAATACATATAATCCAAGGAAGCAATAGGAATAATGCAATGGAAAGGGCAACAATTAAGGTACTCCCTCACCTTATTGCTAAACAGACAATTTAGCAAGGGATCAGTGGTCATCTTATATAGAATACTACAGAATTGTGATTTGGATCTATTTCTACATTCAGCAAATGTTTGAACATCATCAGGAATCTTCACTGAGCAGAAATAATTTGAGATTTGTTACATTTGCTATGGTTTTAAAAGAGTAGAAGTAATTTTTGGGTGAATAATTCTTATATTCTCACTACATACATACACTGACCACTGGAAACTTAATATCTTTATATTTATATGTAAACTTGATCACCCAAAAAAGAGAGAAAATGCAGATATAAATAAACCCCTGTTCATAATGTTCTTAATTGACAGTGCACAAATGGTAGAGAAAACAATCACTGGGAATGTAAATTTGAAATTATAACCAGAATTAAATCAAATCCATCGGATGTACACCAAATGTCTACACCCCTGCACTTGATTAAGGAAGGTGTAAATGGTGTTAAAAGTGTAAGTAAATCAAGTCCATGCACCTTTAATGTGGCAAGAACTCAAAAACTGCCAAACGCAATATCACAAGATGGATACAAAATATTTTACTTAGAAGTTCAACGAATAAAATACAGTCATTAAAAGGCCATTTTCAAATTTTTCAAGCCATTTTCAAATACATCACTTGTCAGAACTCTCCTGTAAAAGAGAACAGAAATTATACCTGGTAAAAAGGGATATAACCCTAATAAGCACCTTCTCAATTTTACAATAGGGAGTGGGGTTTTTTTTCCTCTCTAAATATCTTTCAATTTATTTTTTTAATTTTCTTTTATTCTAAACTCTTTTAATTCCTTATTTTTGCAACACTAGCATCTAAACATTGTAACACTTGTGGCTGGTTTTATAAAGATAAGTCAATATTTTCACGACATAAACTTGAACCTTATATGCATAACTAGCAACCTACAAGCACCGAATAAATTACCATTTACATAAAAACCTGCTGTATATACACATACAGAGTCCACTGATTCTACATTGGTTTCCATGGATATTTTTTTTTCTTCCAGGCCTATACAACATAATTTTATTCTTGGTGACAAAAAGCAATATGACTTGATGTGTTAACCAGCTGACCTGAAGATGAAACTTGCGCTTTCATTTCTCAGGAAAGACTTCTCTCATTCTTAATTAAGCGCCACAGAATCTGGTGTCCTTGGTTTCAGTAAAGACAACGCATTGATTTGTGACAGGTCGTTTCCTTTTCGTCACTTTCTATACCAGATAGCGAAAGTGATGCCGTGTCATTTTTTTTTTCCTTTTAAAGCCAAAAATCAATTTCTGAGTGAAATAAGTCTACTTCTGTCAGAAGTACAGTTTGTAGCTTATGCCTAATGGAAAGATTATTTTTTTGAAATTTCTTCTGCGTGCAATTGTTGTTTTGATAATATTTAATTAGTAAGATATTTTGCATCTGCTAGAACTGCCATAAGAAGTAAGCAAAAAATTACTTCTTTTTCAAGTTTTTTTTTCCTAATTAATTTTTTTAGATCTGATGTTTGACTGCCCTAAATTTTACTCTTAAATTTAAATGACCATCTAAAACCTTTTCTTTTTACCAGTAAAAAATCTGGGTTATACATGAACACAAATTGTGTGCAAAGCAAATAATTAACTGTCTATAGTTAAACTGAAGAAGATACACAGAAACAAATATTTTTAACTGGGTTTCCATGCCACTGCTAAAGATAAACTATTGAGGATTTATTTGTACAGAATACAAGAGAACATTAAACTCTCTTGGTTTAAAACTATTAAATCACCAGCTAGAAATAAAATTACTATCACTAATTATCAAAACTTTAATGAAATCAATATAAAACAATATAAAAAATTGCTGGTGATTTAAATAAAAGCAAATCAGTCAGAGATCATGTTCAGCCAAACTGAAGTGACTCCAATATACACTTTTAGAATGCATTGAAGTTAGCAAAAGTGAGAGAAATATTAAATCACACAGGGATGAAATCAAATTGAAACATTGAATGGGTTAATCCCACATCAAATAAAACATGATCAGTTCAAATACAGTAAAATGTGCTTATAACGAAGTGCTTGGGATGGATGATTTTGCTTCATTACAACCATAATTATATAGTTATATAGTTATATCCATTAAGTTTACAATATATTTTAAAGTCATGAGGAATGAAAATCACTTGGCTGTAAGCATCAATTCATTATAAGCATGTTCTCTATAATAATGTTTTACTGCATGTACAGACACACACACTAAATTAATTTGTAAGCATTTTTTTTTCTGCATAATTGTAACTTAATGTGTTTTCAAATATTTTATTCAAAAGATCCATGCACTTTTATTGATGAACAGAAAAATATATTACAATGTGTAAGATTTGAAAGATAAGCAACTTTGTTCATAGAGGGACAAACATGACAAAAGATAAAATTAGTTTTCTGACTTAAAGACAAATGTTTTGCTGCAATAATGCAATAAATCAGATATAAATAGAAATCTGAATATTTTGCTAACAAAAATAGCAACAATTCAATCTCCCATCTAAAAATAAACATCTGTAAGCAATTTAATTGGTCTATTTACGACTTCTGTTTGATCTTAATTGGTCAATTTTCTGTACCCATGCAGCTTGAAAAAAACACAAGATAAGGTTTCTCTCCAGACCTTAGAATTTCTCAGTAATTTATTTCTGTTAATTTAACCCGAATCATTTAACACTTCTATCATATGCCTACCCATCAGAAACTGCATGGCCTGTCTATCATTAGAAATTGTTTAAATTCATTCTGCATCATTTTAATGTTCCAAGAAAATCTGTTCTTAATTTAAATTAAAAAAAATTCTGGAAATTCACAAGGAAAAAAGCAGTATTTTGTGTTTGTATTTAATTTCATTTTTCTTTTTTTATCTTTTAAAATTATTTCATACTGTTCCATCCTTCCCCCTTAATTTTTGTAGCCAAATCATTTCATACTTCCTCTTTTGGGGACGTGAAACTAAGAAAGTTAAGGCTGCATAGTTTTTGAATTAGCTTAGAGCCCCGGATATATAATTACATCACTTACAAACGTAAGAATCTTATTATAAATGAATGTACCGGGATACCCCATACAAACCTATCACATGGTTTCCTTTCCAATGGACGATGATCAATCACCATGACAACACTGTCCTCCAACGACGAGTCATGACCGACCAAAACATTGTGGTCAACCAAGGTCAAGATTAATCTGCCTTGTTGATGGAGGTCATGAAGGTCAAGGTCATCCCTGAAGGTCAAGTAATCTGGGTTTATCCCTGTGTGGCTAAGGAGAAATTTTGTGTCTGTTTTGAGGTGGAACTTAGATTTCTGAGTATTTAGCACAGGAAGACAAAGGGGTTGACTGGAAGATGATGCCTGAGAAAAAAAAAAACTAGACATGCGTAATGTGAAAAAAAGAGGATCCTAAGATCATTCTTGTAAAGAACAGTAACTCTTGCATTACACAATTAAACTTTAAATTTGTTTTGTTTGTTTTTTTGTTTTTCAACTCTTTACAGAATTAATTAAAATAAAATCTGGAATTCAGGCAAGCTTTTGAACTATTTTTTTTTTTTTTTTGCTTTCTTAAAATGAAAATCAAACAAGAATATTTATCTACAAGTACTGCACACTGTTTTTAAGTTAACAATGTCCCTCAGAATAGTTTAAAATGCAAATTGTCAAAGAATTAAAACTTAATATGCTTAGTGTACCTGTCTCATACCAAAATAAATTTAACTCTGACCAGCTCTGTAGTTGAGATAATTACCTTGTGTAAAAAATAACTGTAGGTCAAGGCTGAAACAGCTGAGTCAAGGTCGCATGCTTCGTTGCCAATGACAACATGTATTTTACTGTCTTTGTATGTTTCTTTATCCTAAAAAATAAACAAGAGAACTCGATATGTGTATGCTTACTTATATAAAGAATGACTGATATTTAGGACTTGTCAGAATATAATCCTTTAGCCATGAAATTTCTTTAATATAAACACAAAGTTAACAAACAGACAAATGTCATATTATGTCACCGCATGAATCGATCTCACTGACTGGCACATAAAAAATGAAGCTGATTTTTTTTTTACATGAACATTAAATAAGTGGGAAAATGATAATATGGAAAGCAAGGCTAGCAAGGCTTTAGACATGTTTTCAACACTGGATCAAATTGCATTACACAATAGCAATGCCAAATATAATACAGTGAAACTCGTAATTTGACTGGCTGTGAGAAATATCAGATTATACAGGTGGGCAGATAACACAGTTTCCTTTTTTTCATGCTGACGTAAAATGTAAAAATGAAAATAAAAAAACAAATATGTCAAACCTCTAATCTTCTTTATCTTCTGTATTGGTTTAAAAACATTAATTCTAATATTACCCCTATCAGTCCAATCATTTTAAAAAAAGATTTTTTTTCCCCCTGTCAATCTTAATATCATATGAAGTAATGTGAAATAGAGATCAAGCACACTTTAACAAAGTTTGCTTCAAACAGATTTTCTTCTCAGTCTTTTCCCCCCTTTTTTTTGGACAGGGACAGGGGCTGGGGGGGGGGGGGGGGGGGTATAAAAAGAATCAATATGATGACAGATCATTTTTTTAAAATTCTGATTTAAATTATGCATATCCAATTGCTGGTATAAATACTTTGATAATTAATCCTTATAAATTAGTGTAATCTCCAATCAACATGATCAAATGAGAACTCAATGAATTATTTACATTATAATTGTTTAATGTCCCTCTCGAGAATTTTTCACTCATATGGAGACGCCATCACTTGCCGGTGGAGAGCTACAAATTTTGACCTATACTCGGCACTCAGGGCCATTGAGCAGTGAGGGATCTTTCTCGTGCCAGCACCTACAGCGACACAGGACCTCAGTTTATACAGTCTCATCTGAAGGATCGGTCTCCACATCCCACAGTGGGATTCAAACCCCCGATGTAAGGATCAACTCCTTACTCAACGACTCAAGAGCGAACGCTCTAACCACTGCACCACGAGGGCAACAATTATTTACATAATATATATATATCGAGGAGGCACAGAACAAATGAAAGATGTAAATTACGTGGAATTTTTTTTTCCTCAAGAAACATTAAATTTTGTTTAAAAACATTGTAACAGATTCCCTCTGAAACCCAAGTCCTGAAGTGTGATAGAACTTAGCAACAGTCAAGATTGCTTGACGAAGGGTGATATTCAAAAAAAAAATATTGACTGCACCAAATCTATGCACACTCTTCACCTTTATTTGTTTTTGTAAAAAACATTCAGCACAGTATAATAAATACTGCATGTAGTTGGGAGTAACATTGAAAATTTTCACCCCTTGAAAACCTTGCATTGTCAACCTTGGCTGTGCTTCGGTTGAAAATGGCTTTCAAGGGGTGAAAATTTTTAATGTTACCCTCAACTACATGCAGTATTTCTTTTTTATTATACTTTCATGTTTTAAGTGTTAATCTAATTTTTTATAAGTAACACATGTTCTCCTTTATTTTTTGTCACGATCTCTTGAAAATGCCTTGGTTGCTATGCAGTAAAATTGGTTGCTATGGGCACATTACAGGATTTGATCTCATAATATCACTATATTTATTGATAATGCAAGAGTATAATAGCAAATATACATTAACAATTATCAATTTGGAAGAAATTAAAGTTTTCCTTAAAATTTGCTGTGTATTTTTAACATTTTTTAAGAGTAAAAACACAAAATTTAACCGTTTTTTCCACAAAAACAATAAAAATGCTTCTCAATTTTATATGTCATTCTTGAAGATCAACCTGTATTGTGCAAGAATCAAATTCATTTTAATGCTCAGCTTATTGTAGATTTTATATATATAAGTTTAAACTTGAGAGGTAATTTTCAATTTTTCAACCTGTAAAACTGTACAATATTCGTGTTGCCATGGCAACAGATGCCTAGGTATTTACTAGATTTGCTTTGAAACTTTTTTGTATACTACATATCTTTAATAATTAGCATAAAGTCTGTTGTAGGTAATATCAGTATTCTTTTTGTAGAAATATTCTTCCAAAAAAGTGAAAATTGAAGCTTGTTTTCCTAATTTACCGTGGTTTCCATGGTAACACATAATAAGGGGAAAAAATAATAGTTTTGTTGGTCAAACATCATTTTCATATATGTAAAAGTTGTGTACTATGAACACTTTTTACAACCAATAAAAGAAAACAGGAGGTTAAAATTTAAAGTTTCCATCTGAAGCTTGATGATTCGTGACATTCTCTCTTAAATACTAAAATCTGATTAGATTAGACGCATTTAATAATCCGTAATATTATACTTTTGTGTAAATTAGTAAAATCTGATTCGTCTAGAAACATTGTTAAAAAACACTTTTACCCGCTGAATAATGAAGGCACGCCCTCCAGCATAGCAACAGTCGACATTGCTTGATGACAGGTGATATTCAAAAAAATATTGACTGCGCAGAATTTATGCACGCAAGGTTCACTGTAATATGTATTTGTATAAAATATTCAGTATAATATAATAAATACTGCATGTACAGTAGTTGAGGGTAACATTGAAAATTTTCACCTCTCGAAAAGCACTGTAAACGGAGACTGCGCTCAGAGTAAAGCACTCCCAACTTCTGAGATTTTCAATCTAGTTCCAACCGACCAACTCATTAACTCCAATTATAATTAACTAACTCCAACTCTACATACATTTGTATCAAATCCTCATCAAACTATCATGACTCTAACTTGACCTTAACTCAATACAGGGCTCCTTGTTCTATAAACAATAGCTCCCATGGCTTTACTAATTAAAAGCTGGTTATTTTTTACCACACTAGACATTGCTTCATTCTTTAATTACCCTAACACAGCCTAAATAGTCTGGGCCATCCTCATGCCTGTATCTCTAAACATTTAATCTTATTTTTTGCACCTAAAAGTAAAATTACTACTCATCACATTTACGGACATGACCTTCTCTAAATTCAGAATAGACAGAGTATTTTAATCAATGAATATTATAAGAATGTAGTTTGGCAATTAAAAAAAATCAGGTCAGAATTCATATTAATATGTTGGATTATAAGAGGTGTCGGTTTACACAGGTGTCAGCTTGGACAGAGGGGACTGTAGACTGTAGAATGCTTTTCCAAAAATGTTATCCTTGAACATGTTGAACGTCAATGTTAACAAAACATCATTAATACTGTATACTGTGTAATATAAGACAATACAATAATTATATCTATTATAAGGCTCGGAGACCTGTCTCTGACATAACTACTACAGAATTAATTAAAAGCTATCTAAATCAAGGTCTTATTGTTGCTTGAAATTATGCTATAAAGAGAATAACATCTGAGCATGCAGCACTCCATCTGGACAATACTTATCCTATTTTTATCATCTTTTTATTTGACATTGACCATTATTACTTCTGAATCTGACAGCCAGTTTTAAGGACCATACAATAAGTACAACAGTGTATGTAGAACAATACATGGTAGTATATATACCAAAGGTGTTTACCCCTTTCTGCAGTTTTCAGTCATGTAATTTTTTTCTATCATTCTGTAATTTGAGCTTTTTGTCAGTAATCTCATGTACTTATTTACTATTCCTATGTTTCCTTGATAACAATTAGAAATTTCAAATTAGTATAGTATATATATATGTAAAAGGTGATGATAACAAACAGTGATCAATCTCAAAAAATCTATATTAAATACCAGGGCTAGAAATAATTATTTTTGTTTACTAGTCACTCGGGCTATTGCCTTAAATTTTAACTGGTCAGCTGAGTACTTTCACTGTCCCACTAGGCCAGTAGATTATAAAAAGACTGGCCCAAAACCATAATAATAATTATAGTAATATTTTTTTTTATATTGTGATACTAAGAAGCACAATTTAACAAAACAAGAAACGGCAGAAGTTGGGACACACAACCCTGTCAAGTTAACTAGCCCGAATGTGAATGAATTTTATTATGCATTAAAAAATGCTAACCCAAAGGGCACATGCCCTCTGCAATGTACTAGCCCAGATTGAAAATTCACTGGTCCCAGACCAGCGGGCCATCAATTATTTCGAGCCCTGAATAAAGATCTGTGAAGAGAGCATAAAACTCGAACCCCTGGAAATTCCAGAGGTGGGATCAGGTGCCAAGGAGGAGCAAGCATCCCCTGTTGATCTGTCACACCCGCCGTGAGTCCTATGTATTGAGCAGGTAGAAGGAACATTCTGTAGGCAAATTCAGTATAAAAAACAAAGGTCTAACAACTGGTATGAAACAAGTCAGCCAAAATACAACTTGATGTTTGATTGATACATTATCTTCTGTTTTGTCAACATGTATCATAGTGATACATAAATTTATGACAATCCGAGCATTAATCGGTATCTTTGAGGCCTTTTTTGTGCATAAGCTAAAGCATAAGTTGGAAGCATAATTTCCAGAGGTAAATCCTTCACTTGTATTTTGAAACTAAAATCGGGAATATGAAATTTCCTTATTGGTAAACAGCTCTGAAATAGTCATGACTGTACTGGTTTTGGCTATATGGAAAGTGGATATCAGCCTGAATAGTTCAATAGTTAGAGCACCTGACTAGTAATGCAGGGTCTTTGTTGGATTTCTTTCCTGTTACAATTTACATGTATTAATTTTTTGTAATATGAGCTCACAGTAGTATTTTGTTTCTCTAATTTGTAGACCAAGCACACATGTAAACTAGGGATGTGTGATTTTATCAGTATACCAGTATATCATGGTGTTTTATCGTGTGATACGCATTGTGATAAGGAAACTAAAATACCTGTATTTGGCATATGATTATAAAATCTGGAAAAATTCATTTATTTGTTCAAACTTTTGAATTGAAGTGTAAAAAACTTTGTTATTTGAATGAAAAATTATGGAAATTTATTTATTTAAAATCATAGTAAAAATTGTGTGTGGAAATATCATATATTTAATATCCTGATTTTTGGGGGGAGAATTGTGATATATTGCTAATACACTAATATAAATTATTTCTTTTAGTCAATGAACATGATATGCAACTTGGCTCAGAAGGAATAAACTTAGATGATCAAAGCTTAATAATAAAACTATGATTAACTTTTACAATATGTCAACATGTAGAAAGAAACAGCAGTTTACTGTAGTAAACAAAATGCTATATGCTGAATTCACTTCTTATGGCTCAGCCAGTCCATTAATGACTTTTTTAAAGTCAACTATATGACTGTCAACTCCAAAGTAGAATTGACAACGACTTACATTGCAAGTCTTACCATAACTGTCAACGTTATTTTAGGAATGACTCTAATTCTTGGCCAAATTATTCGAGTATAACCTGGTTTGGGTCAGTTTACGCTTTATAATCCGCGAAGCGGATTATAAAACAGTGTAAACTGACCCAAACCAGGTTATACTCGAATAATTTGGCCAAGAATTAGAGTCATTCCTTATAATTTAATTTTCAAATCATTAAATAACTATGGGTGTAAAATTTCGTCGCTTTTATATTAGTTCAAATTTGCCGCTCAATAATACAACCGTAGTAACGGAAGTGATGGGAAGCAAGGGGAAGTAAAAACTTATACATAGGCCTAGCAGCCTTGTTTTTTTTTTTTTTTTTTCTTTACATGTGGTAAGATCGAATTATTGTTTGAAGTTAAAGGTACATTTATTAAATCTGGAATTTTTCATGAATCCCGAGGACTGGAAATAGGATACAGATGATTCAGCTGGTTGTCGGGGGGGGGGGGGGGGGGGGGTCCCCATACCAAACTAGGTTATACAGAAATAATTTGTGTTCCTTTTTGGATATTAACCAATCAGAGGCTAGAATACAAACAAAATTAAATTATACTTAAATGTTTGATAGATGAAAAACAATGTATATAATGCTTATATTATTGAAACTTCCATTGCTGAGCAAGAAAGCAAGAATTTAAGGTAGACATTGAATTATTTTATCAGAATTAAAAATACTTTAAATTTATTAAATACTGATTCATTATCCAGATATTGTAATTAAATTTATCATGAAAGTTTAAGGTGATCAAATCTCCCTGCTTGGAAGTAGTGGAAAATTCAAACTGCAAAGAACCTTTTAATTTCAATTTTTTTTAAAGATCGAGTCATATATTACAAGAAAAACATCAAATACATAAAAATACAAGGTTTTTTGTAAGAATTATCTAGCACATCACTTTTTCTTGAATTCTTCCACAGGCTTTAACTAAGAATTTTCCCTAAGACTTCTGGCTGCATTGAACTGAAGCCAAGTTCAAGTAATATTACATAACTGTTATCAGAACACATGCACATGGGAATGCATTATATCTAATCAAAATATAATAAACCATTATGCTCTTACCAAATATTTTCTCGTTTCTCGTAAAAATTGCTCCATGGCTGAGTATATTCTATCAGACAGCTTCTTTCAACAACAGCATGGTTGAATTAATCTGGAAAAAAATATATTAGAAATTTGTAACATTGTATACCGTATATACTCACCTATAAGCCAGTCCGCCTATAAGTCGGTTGTATTTTTAAAGCTAAAATTAGAAGTTTTGACCCGCTAAAATACCAATCTTTTTATAACTCGCATATAAGTCAGATAAAGAGTTTTGGACCAAAGTTTTACTCCCAAAAAAACGACTTATAGGTGAGTATATACGTTAATTATTTAGTATTATTTAGATTATCGAACATGACACATCATAACAGGTAACAAAATAATTTGAATGCTTAGCATACCTGTGTCTTATCTGAATAATATGGTACCTTGATATATCTGTGTCATATGAACATGTGATGACTATGACATACATGTGTCATTCCTGTGATCATGGTGATACACCTGTAACTTACCTTTAACATTCCTATGACATATTGATATAATAACTGTGATATATTCCTGTGTCATAAATATGACATACATGTGTCATTCCTTCTGATACACCTGTGACTTACCTAATGACATAACTGTATCATACTTATGAAATACAGTTGACTTACTGTCTTTTGACATGTATATATATAACACACCAATGACATTCTTTTATAATATGCTTGTAATATACCTATGACATATATATATGACATACATATGACATATGGTACTACTCCTATAACATACTTGTAACATACCTATCACTCTTTTCACATCTATAACAATTAGCTATGATATACCCATAACACACTATAGGTATGTCACATACCTATGGCATACCTATGATGTCATGTGCATGTAACATACCTATGCCATATTTTTACCAAAATATACAGATACTTTATAATCAACAGAGGAAAAAATGCATGACATTTCTCCTTTTTTAAAAAAATATTTTTTCTATAAATGTAATCATATTCTAATACGTTCTATTTCCCCCATAGAAGAGTTATAGTTCTTAGTGTGCTCTTTTGTGAAAAAGTCGGAAAATGTAAAAATCTCGCGGGATTTCAGGGACAATCGTAACAACATGTAAACAGTATGTTGAATATTGATGAAATAACGCGTAACAAACATGCAAATGAGACACTGTATTGTTGTGGACTTAACATGCATAAGAAGTAGAAACAACAACGTCAATTTTTTCACCACAAGAAGTTGTTGACAAGACTTAGTGTTGACGGTTCGTCTCTAAATACAATGTATATGCCTCGGAAATATGCCTCATAATGTTTATCAATGGATGATAAATTCTGGGCTTTCACAATCTCACATATGCCTATTAGTTCTTCTATTCTAACTGGAATGACAAATTCATTAAACATTCAAAATTGGATTGAGATCGGCATGTTTTGTATTCTCCGCTACGTCACTGTTGTCCCAGTCAGACGACCAAACGCGCCTCTAATTTGAAGAGTTCCAGTAATGGAAATAGAAAGTATTCAAAAAATATTTACATCTGCATGAACATCAGTGCAGAATTTTATTTTCTTGTTTTTGTTTTCAAAATCAATTCTTTTTTTTATGTAAAACAAACAAAGAGAATTCATTGACAAATTAAAGAGACTTTATAGACTGATATGATCTAAATAACAGAATTATATCAATGGAAGCAGGATTTCTTAAAATAACTTTTTATGTTATAAACTTCCTCATAAATTAAATCATATTTGAATATCAATAGCAAAATCTTATGAAGACTTTTTTTTACTAAAAATAAAGATACATACATACCAAATAATTGAAAGGTGTTTTTGAAATAATACATTTCCATGCTTCATCAATGTAAATATTAACATGATTATTAAACACAATCAAAATGTGTCCATCATTTTTTCCATAGCAAGTACAGTGCTTGAAGCGTCCCATGTGACGTCTTAGCGATGCATATACCAAGATAGCACTTGCACAAATCACTTTTACTTCAATCAAGAGGATATACACACTGTTTTAAGTAGTACATGTAATTATAAATACACGTAATTGTTTTCAAATGCATTTTTGTAAAACATTACTCCCTGAATGAAAACAATAATTTGTTTTAAAACTATTTTGTTTCTTAATTTTTATTTTTAATTTGTTCAAATTATATCACATACTTCTTGATTGACAATTATCTATTCATGTTTCTACTTCCTAGTATTTTCCAATTTCAAAAAAAATGTGATACAAGTAATTTATTTTACCAGGACAACTGCTAAATGGAGTTTACTATTGGGAATGCCCATTATTAATTGGTTTTTCTGTGCAGTCTGCACAACATGCATATATGGCTCTCAGAGGATGTGTGGAAGTTAAAAGAAGAGTGTAACTATATATCTTATACTTCCATTATCTGATTGTTAAAAATGGGCCATTCCGTGATCAAAGACATGCATTTATGTATATTTCTCTTTTACGTTGAATACAGACCATGAATATTCATGAAATATTAATTGACAAATTTTATGTATACCTTGTACATAAATATACATAGATGGCTTTAGCTACAGATATAATCATGATAATGAAAATCATGTGAGATTGTTGGCCAATACTAAAATTACAGCCTCCCATCTTTTTCACACCCATACTTCTGAAAATCAGCAAAAAAAAAAAAAAAATGCAGTTGATTGCAACAAGCGGCCGGTGATCAGCTATAATTACAGTGTATCAGGAGTTAGTCAAATGTCACATTTGCATTTATCATAGATCATCTCCATTTTATTAAGATATTAAATATTACCAGTTATAAATAACTTGAAGTTCTTGGAAAGCATCTGAAATGTGTCAAGATTTTTCACCATCAGTTGCTCTTAAGATTTAAACTATAGTACATTGTTCAAGTATCAATACACAGTGACACATGCATATCATTGATCACATAAATCGAAAATTTCTGCATTTAAAATGGACTCATAATGAAAAAGCTTATACGCAGGATACTGCTTATATGGATTATAGAAGAAGAAGAAAATATATACGCAGAATAAACAGACAAACGATGTATTGTGCAACACGCTGATATCTGTTATCTACAGTCTGCAACAGCTGATCATTCGCCGCCCCCTGCAAACCGCCGCTAAAGTGCCGCAAAATATCGCAACATTACCTAGAAATGGAATTTAATCCTTAATCCTCCAGCATCCTGTTTCACCGATACGAAATTCCACAGATGTCGTTCTGTAAACATTAAATAACACACATGGATATATTTTCTGCGCCAACTTTGCACATATGCACATTCTCTCTTCTGGCGGAAGTGGGAATGTTTACGTTCTACAAAGTTCAAGGTTCAGACAATTTGTGCTCTGAACCCGATCGGAATGAAGCTCTGGTTAAATATACATGTAAATTCACAAGGGGTCTGTTTTACAAAAACAAAAACAAACAAACAAACAAAAAAAACTTACGAATAAGACCAAAATGTAATGTTGCGAATTTTTTTTTCTTACATTGATTTGAAAATGGGTTTAACTGTTTAATCCGTAATCATGGTAATAAAGTTTGAAAGATATTTTTATCTAAACAATTTCAGCAACAGAACAGTATTTTGTTCTTACAACAAATAAAGAATGTATAAATATAAAGAATAAAATATAAAAATAAACAATCTAAAATGTACAAGGTTTATAATTAAAAAGAAGAAAAGGGTTTATTTAAATCGAAATTCTCCTTTTGGAAAGTTAAATTTAAAATAAATAAACATATAAAGAAAAATCCGATATTATCTGAAAACAAGAAATAAAAAAAAAAAATTAAACTATTTAATTAGATCCTTTTTTAAGCCATCTGTAGGAAGATTTCATGAATTTTTATGAAGTGTCATTTAGCAGCTGTTTAGGTCAATTGGCCTCTTTCATTATACAGTGACTGTAACTCAGGATCGATGTACAATATTAAGATTTTAAGTACTTTCGCCATTTTATACGAGAAATTTAAGCCGTGCTGTTATTACTATAAACAATAAAGTATCTTTGTTTCTTTTAAACGGGGGTCATTGGGGGGGGGGGGATAATGCTAAAATTACATACTCTGTAACCCGCGTTCACATTCTTAAATATAACCAGCTCTTGTTTTTTGGTTTTGTTTTTTTTTTTTCCAGCGATGATTGCAATAATCTATCAAAAATGGAAGAAACTGATTGTTAATTTTAGATTGGTATACCGGGGTGGGGTGGGGGGATTTTTGCTTTAAAAAAAATGAAAATCCGAAAATGTTTGGTAAAGTCCCCCTTCCTTTATTTATTTGTCTGCACACCCGTATGACGAGGTGGATGTCAAAATCCATAATTCAGCACTTATATTTACATTTATATTATGCCTTTTCAATAATACAATCCGTATTGGTATAGGTGGGGGAGCACCTGTTACTGTTCAATATCAGCGTAAATTTTGGTTTTTGCGCGGTATGACCTTGCACTTGTACGGCGTTCTACGTTTGTGTAGGATTGCTTTACATTTGACCTCCATGTCAAACATTGAAATTATTAGTATTTAATGAAAGATGATTTAAAAATGATAATTTAATGCCTTCATATATTTAAATTCGTTGAGCATAATGCCAAATGATTTTAAATATCCATTTTTTTTCGTTTTTAAAAGAAATCTGATAGCATTTACTTTATTAACAATTAGATACAACATGAGTCATCAACGGTTTATAAAAAAGATTGTTCTTGTATCCATACATGCAAAAAAGAGACTTTGATGATTGGGTATTGTATGTTATGCGTAGATATCATTCAAAATCATCTAATGGTTTTTATTATCCCCCCGCTCTCGCGAAAGCGAGGGGACTTCAAATCTCATACGTCTGTAGTCTGTCATCAAAATTTTAACCTTGGTCGTAACTTTTTACTGGAAAAAGTTAGGGCTTTAATCATATTTCACATGTACATTACCTGTGACAAAATCTTTCCAAACATACATTGATTTTTGACCCTATGACCTTGAAGTTTGACTTTAAAAAACATGAGTGATAACTTTTGAATGAGAAAAGATGGGGTGTTCATATTTGACATATATATAAGCTGTGACAAGACCTTTCCAAGATTACTATGATTTTTGGCTCCATGACCTTAAATTAAGTTTGACCGACTTTTCAAAATATTATCATTAATTGGTGCTAACTTTTGAATCACGGCCTCATGCGTCCTCCGGGGCACGGAGTGGATAAGTAAGTAAGTACATGTAAGTAACTTTTGATATAGAGAAGATAGGACGTTCATAGTTGACAAGTGCATTACCTGTTACAAGGCCTTTCTAAGTGTACTCTGGTTTTTGACTTCGTGACCTTGACCTTGAAGTCAACCTACAATACTTTTCAAAATTTTTAACATTGGTCATAATTTTTGAATGAGAGAATACAGCTTACATGTAGATTGCCTTTGACAACACCTTTCAGGGGGGGGGGGACATTTTTTTAAATTACTTCATGACCTTGACCTAAAAGTTTGACCTACTTATTCAAAGCTTTTACTTTGGTCGTAACTCTAACTTGCTCTAAAAGAGACATGGCTTTCATTCTTTTTTTCGCTTGAGAATTACTTGTGAAAAGAACTTTCAGATTGTATTATATTATTTGACCTCATGACCTTGATCTTGAAGTTTGATGCATTTTGAAAAAAAAAACACTTAAATCTTAGCTGTAACTTTTATCATTTCAATTTTTTTGGATGATGGACAGACAAGACAGGGCACACGAACAAGACAGTTACAATATGCCATAAATAATTGCATCACAACCACTAAGACATCGAAAGCGGGGGACCACAATTCTAGATCTGTGAATTTGCTTGTTGGAGGAAAAATGTAAATATGATATTATAAATATCGAGGCTTTCAACACTTTTTATAAGGAAAGATACCGAGGCTTTCAACACCTTTTATAAGGAAAAATAAACATCAATTAATCGTAAATATATTTCTTCCTGTGTTATAATTTTTGTGCATGCACGCTACATAGGTTTTGAAAATTACTTGGAACCTGTCATTATTAACGTTTTTTTTTCCTCATCTTGAGTTTCCGTGAATAAAACTTAACTCACAGTAAACCAAGTTTAATGTTTTTGATAAACTTCGGTACATTACTACACATATTCTTTACTGCATGAAGTATGTAGAAATTCTTTAGGTCATATGTTCCTGACTGTCCAATATTTAAACCAAAACTTTGAAATTTGGGTCAGGTGTCATGGAGGAACAAATATCCCCTGTCAACAGGTCATCTTGCCGTGTTTTTTCATGATTGTGAGAAATCCGTATACATATTGTGAGAAATCCGTATACATTTGAGTATAAAAACAATGGCTAAAGAATGAGTGCACTTTAGAGTGTCATTTGGAGCCTTTTCGGTCACCCATTTTAAGCCTTAAATTAGACTATATTGCTAAATTAATCTATGATTATTGTGCATACATATGCTTTTGATATTTATACTTCGAATTTTTTGTTAAACATATTGCTATAATTCCACACAACGTCATTAAAAAGAACATGTATAAGCCTTAAATTCCGGAAATTTGAACTGGACCACTTTCGAATTTAGGGTACCCGCAAATGGGCGGAGATATTTAAATCACATGGAAGTGGAATGTAAACATTTGCACATTATTTCCAGATTGATTCTATAGTATGAATTTAAACGGAGGAGTGAAAGATTGTGTAGTTTCTTGATTCACACAAATAATAAATGATTCATGGCCATACATATTGATCATTTTCATGATTCGTAACCATATGTTTGATGCCTAGCACTGAAGTAGATCAATCTTAAGTTTTCGTATATGATAAAAAATGCCCCCTCTTTTTTCTTTAACTTTATCATTTTTCGTTTTATATGCTGAATGCTTTTCAATTCAAAGAATGAATGTATGTTTTAAGAAAGATTCACATTTACATGACTTCGATGTCACACTACGTACATTTAATCGTAATTCACTGTACATATAGTACGTAGAGTAATACAAACGTGTAGTGAAACAAATTATACATGTATGTAGTACTCACGGTGATACATATTTTATTATATGCCTGTATAGATAAATAACATTCGGAAATGAAATATAAAATTTTAACTTAAAATTTGAGTCGCTAGGTTAACATGAAAACTCAAAGAAATACAAACTATCTGTAATTTAAATTAAAATTTTATTGACGGAACAAGTATATTTCAGATTAAAAAACATGGTCAACGAAAATTCTACAACGTTACTATATCGATAATCACTCGCTTATGTCTTCAATATCTCTTTCATTTCGGCAATCCAAATATTGTCAGGTATGATACTAGTGTTTAGGGATGTGTCTGTAGATGCTTGCAGACCATAATACAGAGGCGACATGAGCTAACACAGCTACATACTAATCGTGCACTTGATTTGCACTGGCAATACCAGAATTTCCTTCAAATACCAAACGAAAAACTTAACTTAGTGAAAGAAGACAAGGTAAACTTTAGGACCCAAATAAAATTTTCGCAAAATTCTTCATTATTTTGAAGTTGTTCAGGCCGGTATAAACGGTGAGATTTGTAGTTACTGTATATTTACAAGTATTATATTTGTATTGTAATACTTTCCTGTACACATGTTTATACGTTTTATCATAGGCACTCCCCAGCTTAATTGTTAAAAAAATATATATCTACTATACTATAAACATAACATAGGCACTCCCCGGCTTAATTGTTAAAAAAATATATATCTACTATACTATAACAATTAAGCTGGGGAGTGCCTATGCGTTTTATAAGATTGTTTTAATAGACTTTAGGGATTTCTACGTGTTTCCCTCGCAATATTTCTCTCTCTCTCTCTCTCTCAATAATGGAAAACGAGGTTCTGTTAGCAGTATCCGTTATCGTATTATGCATTGCATTAAAACTGAAAAAAAACCCATCGTAATGGAAACAGCGGCGGAACACTCGTATATGTACTAGGTGCACGCAATGCATCGCTAGATGAGGTGCAAAGAGAAGACCCCAGTAGTTATAAAAACTTCTTTAGAATAGATAACGCTGCATTTGAGCAACTTTTACAATTACATGTATAGTTACTCCTTTTGATCTTCTTCCCATAAAACAACGAGTTTTTCGATATTTTTACTGCTAAAGTCGACCATTATTTACCACGTGCTTTTTTTGTTATGATAAAAATAGGATGACCACAATGTGAGTACTTTTGATTGGTTTAAAAATGAAAGGTAAGTTAAGACTTGTATTAAGAAATAGAGCATTGCCCTATTCTTA